AAGACAACAGAAGGGCAACAGTGCAGTGTCAGATTCCTCACATCACCTTTCAACATCTTGTGGAGTCACGAGGTGGCCCAACGAAGTCATCTCGTGGAGTTATCTCGTGGCCCAACGAAGTACTGATGGGGTGGTCATAATAGTCTGGCCACTCAGTGTACATCCCTGCCCATTCCCCTATGTTGCTGAATTTTTATTATTTGTTTATTGTAAAGTGCTTTTTACATCATGGAAAGTTTGACAAAACATATTTTATTTTTACAAGAAGCCTATAATAATGCCAAATAATTCAGAGGTAATTGCTGATGCAAAGACCTGTCCTGGAGGAATGGCTTCCACCACGGTACCAGGGCTCGTCTCACTTCACGTACACCACAGCCTATACCTTTTTAAAGGGAATGTGTAGTCTTCAAAGATTTGTAGATATACAGTATGTGTAAAAGAGATCAGCATGCTGTAAGTACAGTGGTACTTCAGTTCACGAACTTAATTCATTTCATGATTCTGGTCGCGAACCGAATCAAATTTCCCCATAAGGTTTACTGTAAATAAGGTTAATCCGTTCTGACCCCTACAAACGTGGTCACAAACAAATTTCCCCATAAGGTTCACTGTAAATAAGGTTAATCCGTTCTGACCCCTACAAACGTGGTCACGAACCAATTTTGGTCGCGAACAGAATCAAATTTTCCCATAAGGTTCAGTGTAAAGATGGTTAATCCCTTCTGAACCATATGTAAATGTTTTTGCTCTGCACATTCTGGTTACCTTCATTACCGCTCTGCACGGACTTGTCACCTTCATTACCGCTCTGCACATTCTTGTCACCCTCATTACTGCTCTGCACATTCTGGTCACCTTCATTAACACTTTGCACTTTCTTTTTACCACCATGCTTGCTCTGCACTTTCTTTGGAGCCATGCGGCATTAAATGATACTGTACAGTATTGTATGTGCTAAAAAGCACACAAAAAAGCTTCACAGCAAGTGTGCACAGGTCTGTCTGCGACCGCGATCTCGGCAAGAGGGAGCCACGACCACTGGAGTTCGTAAACGGAAGCAAAATTTTGCCGAACTTCCTGTTCGCGAACTGATTTTTTCGCGAACAGAAGCGTTTGTGAACCGAGGTATTACTTTAATACTATCAATGCATAGTAAAGTTGATATCCATTTAATGTTTGAAAGCTCAGTCCCTGCTTCCCACTTTGCAGCATTATACAATTGTTTTTGTTACTGCTTCTTTGATGCTAATCTATGGGGTGTATGTATAAATAGTTTGTGGAGCCATTCATTGTGCAAAACTGACATTTATATTTGTTGTTTTTGTGCAGAATTAATGTAATTGTTGGGGAAAAAAAACACATTATGGCCACTAGATAAGGCAGAGGAGCATAGGTAACTTTCCTATGCTCCTCGGCTCTATCTAGTGGCCATAATGCAAAAAGAATTGTCCGGGGAAAAAAAAAACGGATTAAGGCCACTAGATGAAGCCGAGGAGCAACTTTCCTATGGTTTTACTAGTAGCCATAATGTGGTATTTTCTGTGACAATGACATTTATTCTGCACAAGAATACAGTACATTCAATTTTGCCCTATTTGCACAGAACAAATGTAAATGTCAGTTATGCAAAAGTAAAAGCTCTGCAAACTTTTTATAAATAAACTCCTACCGTGTTTCCCCGAAAATAAGACACTGTCTTATTTTTTTTTTTGCACGAAATAAGACACTAGGTCTTATTTTCGGGGGATGTCTTACCTGGCTTGGGGAGGACTGGACGAGGTCCCGGAAGGCGGCGTGCTGGTCCCAGGGAAACACAGTATATGTAGACTAACTCACTGAAAACCATGCACCTCTTTGCTTTGCATACTTGCACATTGTCACAAGAGCAGCAGCACTACAGGCCTGTTTTCCAGAGGTATTGCTGTCCTGGTGTAGTTTAAGTGTAATTAAACACTCGGTTTTTATTGCATATTTCTCCTGCTAACAAGCAGGAGAAATATGCAAAAACATAACAAACAAAAATAAAAAAAACTTACCTATGTCTCCGCCACTCGCTCCCATCTGAAGATTCTCGAGCGGCCGCATGCGCAGTAGAGATGTTCGGCCGGGAGAAGAGATAGTGTAAGTCAATGCACAGAGCCGGGAGCATGCATGCGGACAGACACCGTGGGACAGAAGACACAGCAGTCAGCGCTGGATTAGAGACCGGCACCAGCGCTGGAGGGACTCCTGAAAACTACTGGAAAGCAGATGATGATCGGATCAAGAGGCATCATTTAAGGTATGTCCTTAAAGCAGCATGGGGGGGACTTTAATGTTGGCTACAAAACACTTATTTTAGTAACCGTATAGTCTGTTGTCGATGACAGAGCCTAGATGGGCAGGTTAGTCATTGCACTCCCTGCATAGTCCTAATAGGTTCCTGTTTAGCCTTATTTTCCCCTCACATGTATTTGTTGTGTGTTTGCATAGAACCCAATTTTTCTGTTTGTCACTCATTCAGACATTGGTCTCATGGAAACATCATTGTGCGTGTGACTAAGTATCTACTTATTCCATATTTTAATATCAGAAAAGCTTCTGGGCAGCATGGCTTCTCTACATTTATCAAACTTAGGTTAAAAAAGATTCCAGAATATTTAAGCAATCCAAGAGTCCGGCTTACCGACCTTCTTCTCTTGTATTCTTATATATAATAGTCTGTAACTGAATGTGCTTGTTTATTTTAATTCCATATCAGGAAAGTACTGCATCAGAGATTCATCATTCAATTTTTGTGTGTCGGTTATACACATTTCTGTATAGAAAGGTTATTAGTGACATCATTTTTAATAGCCTGCTGTACTTTAGCTCCCTTTTTGGCAAGAACAACACATAAAAAACTCAACACACAGAGACTCTTTACCTTCTTATCACTAACGTATACTATGGGGATGACAAAGGGCAATATTAAAGTGTAAAGAGTGAAGCTTTGGAGTAGAAGGATCAGGTAGTAGTTTCTTGTCTGCGTTGTTTTCTTTTTAGAAGGTCCATTGTAAAATGTAAGATTCACACATTTTACTTTACTAATGTCTTCAGGCATCCAAGATCTATAAGAGGATCTGTACTATCCAAAACCATATAATACAAATATAATAAAAATAATAAAATGGTGCAATGCAATTGCACAAGATCAAATGTAAAATACATGTTATGTTTCTAACTAGGCTATTAAACATAAATGTTTTTCCTTCAACATATTCAATGCTACCTGACCTGTGACCAATTTTATTCATTAATCATGTTTACAAAGCAAGGGTGACACAATGAAGAATCAGTCATGTTATAACCATGTTTTAATCATATATTATAAATAGGGTCCTGCAATCATAAAAAAATATATAAAAGGTTAATATTTTGTCCCAGAACACAGCCTTAGCTTTTAAATTCCCCAAATACATACTGGCTAGCACAGTAACGTCACAGGTCCTTCCTTTTTACTCCTGAGGAGGGGAGCAGTCCTTACAGCAGCACTGAATGGTGCTCATAAAAAGATGTGCAAGTCCATGATGGCCACCATGAAGGGGTTGAATGACCACAGCTGTCATTTAACCCTGAATCGTCAGGTTTATGATAAAGTGCTGTAACGTGAAACATGTTTTAGGCACATAATACAATTGCAGTTTTGTATGTTTTTAAATGAACCTCTTGGTTCTCCATATACACCATGTGGACTCACTTTGTATGGAGTATACATGCATGGTGTACGAATGCATTCAATTGTGCATTCTCAGGGTAAGGCTAAACCACCGGTAAAGACATTGCGCCACTTTTCTGGCAGTATGAACCTTTAACTTTTACCGGTTTTGGTAGCTTTACCAACACTTGCGACAGATTTAGGTAGTTTTTTTCTTAACTAGCGCAACTTGACTGCAACAGATTAAAAAAAACAGAAAAAAAACCTGGAAGTAATCCAGTTCAAATGTGAGCTTGTGCCTAGAGAGATGCTCAGAGTTAGAAATGTATGTGCTGGGAACCCATCATGAATCTGACACCTTCTCACTGAGGGTCCAGGGATGTTGGATGGTATTGTTACCCATGGCCATATTCTGGTAATGTTGTCAGCCTGCATCCTTGTCCCTTTGTTTACATTCAGCTGTCCACCAGGGAATCTCCCGGCTGACAGCTGAATGAGGCAGTGATGGGTAATTGGTTGCCAGGTCAGTTCCACTTCCTTTGTGATTGGCAGCAGGCAGATACCATAGCCAACAGACAGTCTGCTATTGGCTATGGAATCTACACACTGCCTGCTATCAATCACTAGGGGAGTAGACCTAATGGGGAACTAGTTCCTCGGCATCGCCATCAGTCTCATCACCATATGTTAAGGACACTGTCGGCTGTGTATAGACACTCCGCCCTCAGTGCACCTCCACACTGGAAATGTAAGTGCTTGTGCTAAATTCAAATTCCTTTTTCCAACAGGTATAGGAATCTGAGGCAAGCACTGACATTTGTCGCACGGATTAACAACAAAATTGACATGACATTCTTTATGAATTCCATGGTTATTGTCTTTGCAGTTATTAATATTTTCAATCTGCTTATCCAGTGTGAATAAGTGTGCACAGCCACAACATTATCTTAAAAATCATGCTGAGAATTATAATATCAGAAGAGCTGGAGTTTTACAAATTACACTTTGTGGTTTTTATCACCCGTCCCTATAGTGACAATCAGCATAGTAGTCTATGTCTTTGACCAGGAAACAATAAAAGGCAAATGGAAGCCAGCAAACTCTGCATTACTCACAGGCTGCTGCTTTGTCTTAGGAACAGGAACAATGATCTGAACAAATTCTGAAACACTTCCAATGATACATATCACATAAATCCAGTGTATTTTGTTATATAGATCTCACATATGCATTTAGGTGAACACTACAAATAAGCTGAAAATAAAATTAATCAAACCTATTTAATTAAACAAAAGAAAGTAAAAGGACAACAATTGTACAGAGAGAAAAAAATCTACACAGCACAGTTTCCGTTGGGATACAATGACAGCCGATCAGTTTGTACCTAAAAGAATTACCTATGTGTGTATGAAAATATTTTAGAAGTGCTGCACAGTTCAATACCTTCAGGTGTGAAACAATGATCTAGCTTTTAAATGAGTATTTTGGACTGTAATATTGTCCTGTATTGTTTGGTGATGAATTATTTTTTGCTTCCCAAAAAAGTGTTTCACTTGGCTTTGGTGGGCTTGGCATCACCCAAGAATTTTCTTCAAAAGAAGACTTCTGGTCAGCCTCCTCACAGTCAGTTCCACCTACTGGACTTGGCCTCTCGTTTGTCCACTGTGTTCGACTGTTTTTGTCCTGGAGTGTATTGATCACTACACGTGGCTGAGGTGCAGAGGCACCGTCACAAAGGTTGTACTCAGTAGAAGACACATGGGGTGCTTTTTCATATGTAACACTAGTAGCTGATATGCGCAGTCTACCACAATTTTTTTCCAAGTCCTCTTCACACTGTACAGGGCCACGAGAAGCTGCCAAAGGAAAGTATTTATATAATTACTAAACACATCAAGAAATATGCAAACACATGTTTTTTCTCTCTCCATAAAGCAAAGCTGTCACCTGCATGGCCCAAATTACCTCAATGAAAATGTGATGCTACATGCAAAGCTGCTGGGAACGAATTTTGTTGTCATATTAAAGTTTGCTGTGAGTCCTTTACACCTCTGCCAGAGTAAAACAGTTTTCAGAACTTAGTTTAATTATAGTGGTTTTTTTTTAGCCATTCCTGGAAATAAATATCATTTCATAGAAACGGTGTCACCACTATTTTTTTTTTTAGTGGTTATCAGTGGTTATCACCACTGAATCCCAGCTTTTATGTTCAGTTGTAGCATGAATGTGCTTCACAACTAATTTGAGCCCCATTTTACACATTATATTTCTGGATCATACCCATGTGCATATAAAATAACGCAAACAAAGAGCCTGCATGACCCAGCCCTGATACAGTGTCCAATGACAATATATTTTGCACATAGCCTGCACTGAATATGCCCAATTTGTTATTTTTAGATATTTGTGGTCATCATTAAAAAAACCAAAAAAAATAGTATTCAAGTTAGCAATTAATGCAGTGCTTTGTGAAAACAATATACACTATATTGTCAAAAGTATTGGGACACCCCTCCAAATAATTGGATTCAGGTGTTCCAATCACCTCCATGGCTCCAGGTGTATGAAATCAAGCACCTAGGCATGCAGATGCTTCTACAAACATTTGTGAAAGAATGGGTCGCTCTCAGTAGCTCAGTGAATTCAACCGTGGTACCGTGATAGGATGCCACCTGTGCAATAAGTCCATCCGTGAAATTTCCTCTTTACTAAATATTCCACGGTCATCTGTTAGTGGTATTATAACAAAGTGGAAGCAACTGGGAACAACAGCAACTCAGCCACGAAGTGGTAGGCCACGTAACATGACAGAGCGGGGTCAGCGCATGCTAAAGTGCACAATGCGCAGAAGTCGCCAACTGCCTGCAGAGTCAATAGCTACAGACCTCCAAACTTTGTGTGGCCTTCAGATTGGCACAACAACAGTGTGTAGAGAGCTTCATGGAATGGGTTTCCATGGCCGAGCAGATGCATCCAAGCCTTACATCACCAAGTGCAATGCAAAGGGGTTGATTTACTAACCTTATAAACACACCACGAACATGTATACACCTCTGTAGTGTGTTCCCTCCCAGCATGATCTATGGGTGGAATCTAAACACCTGTGTAGTGTGTACACACCCAGCAGGTGTGTTGTGCAAAGCCCTGCCCTGAATTGCAAGGTGATGTTGTGTAAATTAGCTCTACGTTGTGTTGCTTGCGTTGATGAATGCAGGAATGTAAATGCATGAGCTAACCATTTTTGTCTAAACTGTGAAGCAGCATTATATATGCATCATGTGCATGATTTTTCCATATATGGCATTAGTGGAAATATGCTTTTAGAGACTTTTTGGTTGATAAATACGCTTTGCTGTGTAAAAATCACACGCACCTGGTGCGTGCGTGTGTTTAGGTTAGTAAATCACCCCCAAAGCGTCGAATGCAGTGGTGTAAAGCACGCCACCACTGGACCTTAGAGAAGTGGAGATGTGTTCTCTGGAGTGACGAATCACACTTCTCTGTCCAGGAATCCAATGGATGTGTCTGGGTTTGGCAGTTGCCAGGAGAACGTGGGAACAGTTTGGGGATGGCCCCTTCCTGTTCCAACATGACTGCGCACCAGTGCACAAAACTAGGCCCATAAAGACATGGATGAGCGAGTCTGGGGTGGAGGAATTTGACTGGCCTGCACAGAGTCCTGACCTCAACCGGATAGAACACCCTTGGGATGAATTAGAGCGGAGACTGCGAGCCCGGCCTTCTCGTCCAACATCAGTACCTGACCTCACAAATGCTCTTCTGGAAGAATCGTCAAACATTCACATAGACACACGCCTAAACATTGTGGACAGCCTTCCGAGAAGAGTTGAAGCTGTTACAAGGGTTGGCCAACACAATATTGAACCCTACGGACTAAGACTGAGATGACATTAAAGTTCATGTGCGTATAAAGGCAGGCGTCTCAATACTTTTGGCAATATAGTGTATGTTTAGAACAATTAGAAACTAAAGCAAGTTAGAGTCTGCAATTCACCAGGGGCCGCAGCAGCTGATCAATAGGAGGTGACAGATCACAGAAGTGTCGGAATCTCACAAATACATATTCATTTACAAACTCTTTTCTGAAACATGATATATAGACTTTTGTTGCGGAATAAAGCCTTATACTACTCAAATTTGTAAGTGGTTTTAAATGGCTGGTAAAGTACTCCTATCCACTATAATACATGACAAGGGATTCATAGAGCACTAAAGGTTAAATACACAGCTTAGCAGATGCTTCTTGCTTTGCACCATTTTTGATTGAAACCTGAAAGCGAGCCTTCTGATAAGGAATGAGTCACCGCGATGAGCCATTCACTTCCATTTGTGAATGTAAATTGCATTTGGATGTAAACAACAGTTTTTGTTTTTTTAACAGGCTATACCTAGATAGAACTACAAATTTAAAAAGTCAACAGGAGCTTTACCTGCTGGCTAAGAAAACAACAAAATTTTATTATTTCATATTTATCTGACAAAAAAATATAAAATAAAATTTGAAATTAGTTTATATATTTTTTTTTTTTTTAGTCCTGACCACACTAAATAAAGAACATATGCACAAATCTGCTCCACATTCTCTTTAACTATAAAAAGCAACAAATAGGGAGATTTCTAGCACTAGTCTGCTGTTACTACTTTTCAGACCATCGCTTTTTTTT